TCAGAAACTTTAGAGGTCACAAAGTACATATACGTAGATCGCCTTATTTAAAATTCGAACTGAAGACACAATAAACAACCTAGAAGTCATTGTATTACTTTGAAATTCAAACGTGTTTTGCTTATGTCAACATACACAGATCACATAAATTACAGGCAACATATTTCAGTTGAGGTAACTCATATCAATGTATCCCGTCTTATGTAACTCAGATATCACTGTTTTCCGCTTAAATATCTGTTAGCTAAATCAGCATCTGAAATGACTCCAATCTGAAAGTTGTGTTGCCGCTGTCAGAGCAAGCCATTTCAAATTCCGGAAGTGCTAAGATTAATCACGTGTCTACTGCCTATGTCACAACAGTATAAGGTCAAGAGATGCTCTGGTCGCCTGCTGTCCGCCTTCCTTTATTTAATATTCACCAGTCGCTGGCTTCCCATCGCGGCGGACCGGGTTCAATCCCGGGTCTGGTCAAGTGGGATTTGAGGTGGACAAAGTGGCGCTGGGGCAGGTTTTCTCCGAGTACTTCGGTTTCCCCTGCCAATCTTCATTCCACCAATCACCCTCACCTATCATCTGGGGCTGGTACAATAGGCCAGAAGTGGCCGCAGTACAAGGGACCTAGTCCCACCCCACTAGCAATAAAAAAATAATAATATTCACCATCAATCCGACATCTTCCATTCAACACTGCATAAGGTCATTGATTGACACAACAGCATTGTATAATGTAACAAACTGTAACCAGCATTTGATTTCAAACATATCCAAAATGAAGATTCGTATCATAAGTAAAACAGCAAATTTGCCGTTTTTATTTGTTAAAGTTGATCTCTTATGTGAGGTAAGAACGTAAACTACAACCTCATGAAGAGCTATTTCTTAGGAAAATATTCTTACCAAACGGGCATGAAGCGGGAAATTTAAGATGCTGCGTAAATAAGAACATAGTGGTTTATACAGGCGACTCTTTTGGGGCAAAGGAAGTTATTACATTGCAAATACGCGGCAGGAAGGGCATGCATACAGAGGTCTAGTTCGGAGATCCCTTGTAAAAGGTCTATTTTAGAATATCGAGCACAAGGACGGATAATATTAAACTGGATATTAAGGAAAATAATTAAAAGGACGGTTCAGTGGGTGGAACTGGTCATGACCGTGTATCATTGGAGGATTTTATATTATCGGTACTTGACTTCTAGGCTTTTCTACCATTAAGATAGATATTTGTGAAAAAGTCCCTGAAAATGTATAACCCTCCCTTTGTTTCCAGTAGGCTACATCTTATCTAAATATACAGACAGGTAAAACTTACAGATTTATAGTTGCACAGTTACCAATGCACCTCGAATTTCCGCACAGCAGGTTGGTATAGTGGTAACGCAGGAGTTCGGTTAGACTGCAAGCGGGGGATCGGCTATATTTTACGACTTACTTCCCAGAAGCAAACGTCAGGATAATACCTCTGTGAGGCCACGACAGTTTCCTTCAAATTCCTTTCAAGTTTACTATTCATTAACTTTCTACTATTTGAAGCTTTAATCTGAGATACGGACAGTAGAGTAAAATAAACAAAATCTTGAAGAATGCCTGCCGTCCTCTGGGATGTGGCGCCGTGTAGATATTGTGTGAACCGAATTTTCGGAGGAACGTCAGTTAACACAAGATCTACACGGCATTCTTCGTAGCCATTGCTGTGAACCCCTCAAATAAAATCCTATTTGTCAACAGTTTACGTAGTTATGATGGGGTGATTTTATAGCGTGGTAAAAAAAAATATATAAAGCTATCCCTGTAACAGGCCGTGAAGGCCCATACGGTTGTGAGACGTTGAGGGTCCCACATTATCTAGACAATCGGCTCAAAGATGGAGGTAAGGTTGTCAGCCTTACGCGCCGGCCGCGCTTTACTCCCCAGGAAAATTATTTAATTAATTCCTGGTACTCATTTCTGTTAGAGGCTGAGTCGACACCAGGGCCATAATGCGGCCGGAAGGATTAGGTCAATTGAAAAAGTTCCAATGAACTCATTGGGACTTTTTTATAGCTTGGATGAGAGATAATTTTGGCGTCGAAAACTTTGGAAAGCACTCACTTGCCCGACTGAGAAGGAGATGGAAAGATAACACTGCGATAATATGTAAGTAGTAGATCGTGAAGCTAGAGAGTGAATAGAACAGGCTTAGGATAGGGTCCAATGGCGGACTCTGCTTCGACCTCTCTATTGGCGAGTTAATAAATTGATAAAAATACGTCATTAGACAACCGACAGGATTCAACCGTGGAAGCTGCAGTTGTTATTGAAGACACACGTCCAGACTTTTTCGTCTCGTTTTCCTTATCAGATTGCAGACTCGGCACCAACTGCGAAGAAACCAATCTTGATATAGGTCATTACATAAGACCCATTCTTCCATGATGAAGTGTATATAGCAGACACGCCGCTTTCAATCCTAGACTACTTGTCGTGTCCTTGTAAGTTACGGTTTTTTTCTATAGTACAGGTTCGGAACATAACTACAAGAAGGCGTAAGTAGAAAAACTTTGATTACTCTCACTGTATCTGTCAGGTTGGCAGCTGTGACTGATCGCAGACTTCGAAACGGACGTACGGACAGGGAGCAAGTTGACAACTCCGTAGAATATTATAGGCTATAGCAGCCTCGCGGCCGGTCACGGTAGCCGAGCGGTCTAAGGCATGTACTGTCTTTGCTCGCTTGGAAAACGGGATCGTGGTTTCGGATCCCACTCAGGGCATGGATGTTTAGTTTGTGTGTGTGCGTTTTTCTGTGTTTGTGTACAGGTAGAGGCCTTGTGACGAGCTCATCACCCTCCCAAGGATTTCTACCGAATGTGTAAGATCTAGAAAAACCGAAGTGAACGGAGAAGTTCATGGAGGTAGGCCTAGGCCCACTGGGGCTGTAGTGCCAAGGAAAAAAAAATAGCAGCCTCGCACTGGCTGAGGGCAATCAGATCATAGCTAAACGAAGAATTAGAGAGAGTCCTGGAAAGTTCCAGAAGCTGTAACTCTCGCCAGGCAAGCGGAGAAGAATAACTGAGAAATCAGACAAGAATGAAAACTTTTGAATTAAGCCGGGGAATAAAATGAGCACAGTGAATAGGACTTCGAGAGTGGTAGGATGGAAACAGAATTCCGAGCCAAATTCTAAGTTACAAACAATGTCTTTTATGAAAATGAGAAAAACTCGCTGAAATGTGAGAAGATTATACACTGTATATATGCGAGTGTAGTAGAAAAGAAAAGTAACAAATTTTTCCGAGAATCTTCACTTGTCTTTAAATGCGTTCATTAATTAGTACTTCAACAATTAAAGTTTGAGACAGAATGTTACATAAGGAAGTTAATGGAAAATGACTTGTACGTACGACATAGAAATAGATGGGATAATATTAAAACGAACCTTAAAGACAGAGAGTTAGAGGTTGTGGACATTCTTCATTGGGCTGAGGTAAGGTACCAATGTTAATACGGCAATGAATTATCGGGTTCCAAATAAGCTGGGATTTCGTTAATTGAAAAAAAAATTCAATGACCTCATTGGGACTTGAACCCGCGACCTTCAGGCTTGTAGCATAGTGGCTCAACCAACTACGCTACAGCGCGCCCCCTTGTTTTTGCTAGTATGATAGTTTTTCTTACTGAATAGTTCCGTTTACTTTGTAACGAATGTGAAGAATATTTCTTGTTATAGTGTTACTGTTGTGGTTACATGTCTACTAACGCTGGACTGTGTAGCACCTGAGTGTACTAGGAAGTGGCCGTTAGTACTGGTGTGTCGTGGATGGACGGGGTGGTTCAGCGAGCCTGTTGTAATGTATATAACACACCGCTGGATCCACCCGGTTTACGTGCAAATGTAGTAATTGCAACGGGAAGCAGGACCTGAAGATGACACACATGTGCCGAATCATGCCGTCCTAGACAGCAACCCCATCTGCTGGAAATATTGTTGTGCTGACAAATATTATTTATAACAATTCACACTACACAATGCGACAAAATATGAACGATAATCAACCTTTGCATGCAGAAATGATGCTAAATTTATCAACTAGCCAAACGACGTTAGCGTAAATATGTACATACAACTTAAAGCTGCTTCTTGATTTACAATACTTTTATTGAAATAAAGTATCAAAACTGCTGAATATTATGATTTTCACTTCATGTTTGCAACGGGATGCGAAACGGACGGGAAGGTGCTCTAAGGCAATCGAGATTTTTCTGCACGGAGAAGTCTCCCACTGGTAACGATGCTCGATCCATCAATCACCGTCACCATGAACTTTCACGATGAAGCCATCCAGTTTGTTCCGGCTTACCCGTCATCTTATTTTATTTTTACCAACTAGATGGTTTGATTTTACATATTTCTCTTCTCATAAAAGTTTCCTGTTTACTCTGACAAAACTTGTTTTTATAGTCTATAAATAATATGAAGGCTCCATCTGTAGATCCTCTAAGTTTCTCCATAAGTATCCCGAAGCAGTGTACATCTCTCTGGCCTTCAAACCATATGTTTTTGATAGAAATATTTTCTTTTATTGAGCCAAAGCTTTGTCCTTAACATTTCAACGTGTCTAATCGAAAGAATTTATAAGGTATATAGCCATAATTTGACATGTTTACCTCGATAACCGGTTTTAAAGATCTGGGTAAGTAACGCTTCGCAGACATTTAAAGTTTTGCCATTAAGAATTTAAAAAGTACAGAAACCTGCATTTTGCTTTTATAAAACGTGTTATTGTTCATATCCGGCGCTTTACGGGTTTTGAATTCGAGCAATACGTCTTCTGAATCCTTCATTTTCATAGAGCATGACCAAATTCGCATAATCGCATTCTCAGAAGATCTGACGGGGCGGTTGTAGACAGTGTATCCCCAAATTTGCAAGAGAATGAAGTCATTTCTTTGCAGCTATTACGTGTACGTATGTATTTTTCTTCCATAATAACATGAATTTCGGACGCCGTTCTTACCTTTTGTGTTCTTCCGTGCATATCGAACTCCAGTAAACGCTCTAACTGATCGAAATTCTCTTGAGCACGACTGTCCACTTGCATGGAATTAACCTGCAATTTAAAAAATGGACTTTACAATACAATTTACAGAATAAATAAGGATACAGCAAATATCATACGGAACATGCTGAAGTAACGCTGTAAATAGAAAATGCTTATCTGAGAGGAATATTTAAACAGGAAGAGGAGAAAGGGAATGTTCATCTTCCGCGAATCTGCAAACCAACTAAAATGTGGAAGCTACTGATGAAATGACGGCAGTGCGTGTAGAGCACATGGGTGCGGATGTGACGCAGGGGGAGAGGGCGGAAAGGCAATGACTGCATTGAGACTATGGTACAAGTTGTTCGAACCCGGGTCTGGTCAAGTGCGATTTGTGGTGGACAAAGTGGCGCTGGGGCAGGTTTTCTCCCGAGTACTTCGGTTTCCCTTGCCAATCTTCATTCCACCAATTGCTCCACAATCACCCTCACCTATCATCTGAGGCTGGTACAATAGGCCAGAAGTGACCGCAGTACAAGGGACTTAGTCCCACCCCACTAGCAATAAAAAAAATGGTACACGTTCATTGTCATTAGTTAGTACTCGTACCTTCATTTAATTTCTTACACATATATAAGTAATGAATACATATATATAGGCCTATCATATGAACCTAAACAATCACTATCCATCAGTCAGTCATTTATCCGTCACTTACAGGTATTATTGACTGAATGTATTAGTTCTTGGTGTATGTATGTATATGTATGAATGTGTGTAATTATGTATGTATGTGTATATATATATACAGTATGTGTGCATGTATTGTAGCGTGTGGAGCCGTTACTGGGAAACAACGAAACAACATCCGTTACTAGACAACGACCACAAGATATGCAAATATACCAGAGCCGTTACCGGGCAACGCCTTCCCCCCCCCCAAAGAAAACACGTTCCCACGGAAACGATTTGAGCAACAACAGAGGAGCTGTGTTTTCTGTTAGTACAAGACGAGATGTTATAACCGAGACACGTTTAGAAATTAGTTCTGTTGGAAGGGAGCCAGAGAGGACTTGAGGACAGAAGCAGAGGAATAGCCATTGTTGGAGCCGTTACCAGGAAACGACTAGTAGGGTTGTGAGACGTCGTGGCTCCCACATTTTGTGTACAAAATCGGCTCACAGAAGGTGGTAAGGTTGTCAGCTTTAAGCGCCGGGGCACTTTACCCTCCAAGAAGATTCCTGGTACTCATTTCTGTTAGAGGTTGAGTCGGTCCCGGCGCCATAGTGCTGCTGAAAGAATTACATAAATTGAAAAAAGCTACGTCATCGGGAATCGAACCCGCGACCTTGCGGCTTGTAGCATAGTGCCTCAACCACCTATGCTGCCGCGTGCGCCATGAGAATTGCTTAATAACTGATCGGAATAAATCAGAACAGCCTGAAGTGTTCTGGTAGTGGGACGGATAGTTATATACGAGTATTTCCCTTATGACAGTAGAAAAGTGAAAATTATCAGTGTAACTTCATGCTTGCAAGCTGTCCTGATTTGGAGACAAAGAAGAAAGATCGTTAATTTGAATCCTTACGTGGCAGTAAAGTTTAGAATAATGAAATTTTCAAAGTCAGTTTGGCTAGAAATGTAGCCATGGGAAGTGATGCACAGCAAATGGAGTAAGTCTGGCAAGGAATATGACAGTATTATTTGCATGGACAATTTAAAGGTAAAGTTGCTCCTGTGCTTAATTAAGAACTAAGCCGTGAAGATGTATGGGGCAGTAGAGGTAGAGCTCCATTATTCTTGACCTAGGCACTAGAGGGAGATGAGTGGTCAGCTTCACGCCTCAGTCGTTTTATCCCAGGGAAAGGGCCCCCTGTACCCGTTGATAGCAGAGGCTATAAAGAGAAATATTTTGTCCCTACCGGCCAACCCGTAGCCCATCGCTGTACCGACTGATTTATCCTGAGCCCTTCGATAGAAGATTTAGCCAAATGGAGAAGCCGATTTTGACCAGGTTTTGAACTCTGTCCATCTCCCGGTGTTTTTAACACAGTGTTTCGGGAACTGTATCTGTTTCCGTCCTCAGATGAAAGATTCGGAGGACCCTACTTTGTTGGGTCCGTTATAAATGGATTACCTCCGGCCCAGTGACTGAAGTTAGTGTTCATTAGAAAGAGAGACCCTCAGTCACCGGGAAAGTGGTCCAGTTTTTTGTGTTATTTTTTTTTCTGACGGACCAAACAAGGTAGGTGCTTCCCGCCTCTTCACATAAAGACGTAAATATATCCAGTTTCCAAAATGTTATTTTCTTTAGAACGCATAGTAGACTCAAATGAAAAAAAAAGTTAACAATCTGTGGAGCTGGAGCAATAGCTAAGTATATTAGAAATATACAGACTGTGTGAATTTGAATTTGGAAATACCATACAACTCTAATAATTGCGTTTTATTTAATAATATTGTGTGCAAACATTATTTGAGTGTTTTTGATACGAAGAAGAAATTTTGTTACATCACAGATAGATGAAAAATAGTAGAGACAGTGTTTCTATGGACTATTTAAAGGTAAACAAGAAGGATAAAGACTGAAGCCAGGACAGTAAGCATGATCTGAAGTTAGAAACACTGCAGTAAATACTGATGAGGTTAAGGATACAGTGGTATGTACAAAACTGTGACATATCGACCCACTGCTAGGCAACGCCCGCAATACAGAAGCGGCCAACAATACAAGGCAGTGTTTTCTGTGGTCGGCGCACGGACCGCTGCTATGCAGTGTCTCTGTCAGTACAGGCTTCACAGGAAAGATCATGCATATCTTACGTATGTCATGCTACAACGGCAGCTTAGTCACTTGAACGTTCGTTAAGCTTGACAAGATTAAGCCTTGCTTCCCTCAAAAAATGGCAAGTTATTATCAAATAACTGAATCTATTAAGCAAATTAACTCCTGTTTGGACATAAGCCCATCTTCCTCTCGGCATACTCATTCATTAAACGAGAAAAACAGCAATTTGTAGCTTCCTGTGGAAGTGCCCTTCAGTGGTTCAGGTTTTACTTTAACTGGGTGAAATTTAGGAAAGAACTCAAAGCATTTAATTAGAACAATTCTGCGAACCACACACCCCACATGACAGATTGCGTAAATTTAGGGTTAAACACTTACAGGATGCGTCATCGGACCTCTGCCTCGCTCTGTACTTTAATAGTCTGCATTAATTAACTTTAAACCTTTCACCATAGCAATGTGATTTTATCAAAACAGTTGGACAACCGGGGTTTGGTTCACGACAAGGGCACTGAGTTGTTTCACTTAGTGATTTTAGGCATTCACGGCGATTCATAGATCACTCTAATTTTGCTTTGAGTTTACTGTGCTGCAAATGTTTCGGAGCCTACTGTCTCCTCCATCTTCAAGACGGAATTATATTTTGCGCTGAAGATAAATGCATCAGGTTCTTACGAAACTTTGGTAAAGCAGGCATAGCCCATGCAGCGCAATGACACAAAAAGGATCAATTTCAATATGTCTATTCCTCACAACGTCCAGAGCGGCTCTGTGCCAGATCCCAGACCCCATTCGAGTGTATTAGGGCTCTCCCTGTGGGGTAAGGAAATAGGAGGTTGACGCTGACCAATCACTTCAACTACTGGAGATCTACAATATAAGCGATCTGCTTTCATAACATACAGGTAGTATTAAAGCTAACTACAGGGAACTGAGCCCTTCTTGAGAAGCCGCCAATTGTGCAGCCACTCAAGAACATCCCAGCATTTTATGGAACACGAAGGTTCATTACCGTGTTCACAAGAACCCTCCACTAGTCTCTATCCTAAGTCAGATAAATCCAATCCGTATCACAAACAGAGCTATATTGTGACAGGTGTACACAGAAGGATTGAAAACTTCTGTTATTAAAACGCAAAGCAAATTAGTGCAGTGTATGAGATCTGACAGGTTGCGTCAATATAAAGAGATTTAGCTGCTTTTCTTGCTAAGCTGTCGTGTCAACTTTATGATGGCCCACGTTGGAGCGCGCCACTTTTTACTGTAACCGCACCCCACGATGGAAGAACGTCACTTCTAACTGCTTGCTCTTATATCTATGGCTGCTGCCCCTCGTGCTGCGCACCTTCCCCATGTTCCTGGACTCGTTCCGTGTCTCGTGGATGTCGAGAGGTAGGCGGGAACAGAAGAGAGTTGTTGTTGTTGTTGTTGTTGTT